TGAGAAATTGGTAGAGTTTCATCATTCAAATATGTACCTACTACATGATAGCTACAGATGTTATAACATGACATTTTAGACACTAAAAGCATCTGGAAAAAATGATTGTTCCATTGAGGTTTTTTAAATAAGCTATTTCAGCATCTTTACTTTTTACATTGTAGTTTGGTTCAACTTTCGTTTAGCTGAAATCAGTTATGTAAAAAATATTTGTTTATTTAGTATTTGGAAGCCTTTTCGAATAGTATGTTAAAACATTTTTTTCTGCAGAAATGCTTCCTTTTTGAGTTTTTCAACTGTAAAGTAGCTGAAATCAGGACTACTATAGTTTAGCTGGAATCAGTTGTGTAAGAAATATTTGGTTTATTTAGTATTTGGAAGCCTTTTCGAATAGTACGTCTAATTTTTCTGCGGAGATGCATCATTTTCGGTTTTTCAACTTTAGAATTATTGCTGAAATCAGGACTACTATAGTTTAGCTGAAATCAGTTGTGTAAGAACTATTTGTTTATTTAGTATTTGGAAGCCTTTTCGAATAGTTCGTTTAATTTTTTTGCTGGAACTCATCATTTTCAGTTTTTCAACTTTAGAATTGCCGAAATCAGGAGTGCTTTAGTTTAGCTGAAAACAGATAATGTAAGAAATATTTGTTGTTTTAGTATTTGGTTTGGTTTGGACGGCAAGGCTAAACCTATGCAAAGTCCAGAGACTAGCATGTGTTTGCATCACAGGAGCCACCAGAACCTGTCCAACAGCAGCAATGGAGGTCATTCTAGATCTAACACCACTGCACATTGTCATTGGTAGATATGCCAATGCGACAATGATTAGAATGGTCACTAACGGAATTAGTACTGGGAGAATTGTCAGATCAGGGGCTTGGAACACCTTCAAAAAGGAAATACCACTCCTGCAACTCCCAGTGGTTGTTCACAGTATAGGCAACTTTGACAAACATGTCAATGTAGTATTGAGCAATAAGAAGGATTGGAAGAGCGAAACGCTTGCCCAGCAGTTAAAAGACCATACCATAACTTGGTATACTGATGCTTCCAAAACCAATACGGGAACAGGGATCGGAGTGTTTGGGCCGAGAGCTAATTACTCCGAACCAATGGGCACTTACCCTAGTATCCTACAGGCAGAAATCTACGCTATCGAGAGATGCGTACAACTTATCTTAGATAGGAACTATCGGAAACAAGAAATAGCCATCTTATCGATAGTCAAGCAGCGTTAAAGGCGATCAACTCAGTATCAATCAATTCGAAATTGGTCAAAGAATGCATAGAGAAGCTGAATAAATTAGGCAAAGAAAACAAAGTCCTCCTACACTGGGTGCCTGCTCACCAAGGGATAGAAGGCAATGAAAAAGCAAATAATCTAGCTAGGAAAGCAGCGAACACTCCACTAACTGAACCAGAACCGTTCTGCTTTCCAAGTGGTAACCAACTCAAGGCGGAACTCAAGAACTTGGAAGATTCCATCCGCAACCTGGAATGGAAATTTTCCAATGGTCTAAGACACTCGAAGAAGTTTCTGAGGGCTTATGATGAAGAAAAATCACAGATCTTCCTGGGTCTGAGTAAGAACAATCTTCGGATTGTCACGGGGTTTTTAACAGGACACTGTCTCCTCAACGAACACCTCAGTAGATTGAAACTAAGAAGAAACGGCGAATGCAGATTCTGTGGGGAAGATGGGGAAACACCAGTACACCTCATCACTGAGTGCGCCGAGACGACAACCATTCGTGCCATGAATTTTGGTACGACTGATATTGGAGATGGAGAACTACCCTCTATAAAACCGTCCCAGATACTGGCTTTTGTCAAAGCCCTGGGACTGTATGATGAGTTATGATTCAAGAAAGGGGGACACAATGGATCTGTAAGGTCGAAGTGATTAACCCCCCTCCCACTCATTCTAAATTCTAAAAAAATTCTAGTATTTGGAAGGCCTTTCCAAATAGAAAGTCATGAATTTTTTTGCGGAAATGCATAATTTTCAGTTTTTCGACTTTAAAATAGCTGAAACCAGTTAACATGAAAACGCGTTTCTGTTTTTCATTCTATAAATTTTTCTAAACCTCGACATACAAAAAACTTCTTGTAAGTGTACCGTTTTCATTTATTGATAAAGTATTGTAAAATATAGGTAACTTATATTATGCAGGGTAAGTGTTAAATAAGTACAAATATTTTTAGTGATATGATATTTCGACCCCAGAAACTCGTCTACGAGGTTTGTTGCGTCTATGTCGGAAAAAATTATTTTTTTTGGAAAATTTGGAATTTTTTGAAAAAAAATTGGATTTTTTTATTTTTAGTTAAAAAACGTAATATCTTCATAATATGGCAACACAGATAGTAGATTCAATTTACAAGAAAGAAAACTCCAGTGGTAGTCAAAATATAAGCGAAAAATAGATATTTTTTTAATTTTCAAAGTAAAATACCTCGGTTATTTTGGACTTATTTGAAAAACGGTAAGGAGAAAATATGTTTCTTTTATCAAGATCTGTACCAGCCCTGAAAATATTTGCACTTATTTAAGACTCACCCTGTATATATTATAGCGCAAAAAAAATAAGATTTGAAAAGCACTCGGCAATTGGAATTCGTAAACAGGCGCCTTTTAACTTACAGCTTGTTTTGATTGCTTTGGTTTGGTTTGGTTTGTTGGTTCGTTTTTGTTTATTTTCGTTTTTTTCTCGATAACGGTATTTATGTCTAAATTACAGTAGCTACCATGTTAAGTTCATACCTACTCAACATGTTTTCATGTAACTGATATCAGTTATTCTAAAGTCGAAAAAAAAAGAGATATATGTGGAGGCTTCTATATACTGGATGTTCTTTTATAAATGATTTCAGCTAAAAAAAAGTTCACCCTGTAGTTTAAACGTACAGCAAGTACCTACTTCAAATAATACAACCAACAATCAGTGTCAGCGAATAATACCTTTACATGATTTTGGTCCAGACTTTCAAGCATTAATTTTGGAAAAATAATAAAAGTCTCTGAACTTCTGGATGTGACATGGATGTAAAGCTAAAAATTGATGGATTACATATTAGTTTTTAGTTTTCAACAAGTTTTTTTCGGTACGAACGCTCCAACAATAACTCATATTATCCATTACAGATGTAAACCGTTGACAGGTCGTCAGATTATTGCGCACGGGAAATGATTAACGCCAGTTGGAAACAAAACAGGTTAGATAAAATTAATTAAAGTCGCATTGTTGTCCAGTTTTCTATTAAACAAGATTATGTATATGATTTAAACGCTTGCCACACGCGAATATTCCCGTTTTGATTAATTCCAGTGTGAAAAGGCTCAAAATTTACGACCAGTATTTCGGCTATAATTTGCCGTGAATCATGTGCACAGATTTTTGCCGGATATTTTTCCAGATAAGGCCTTAGTTTCACGTGCGAAATAAATTATCGTAAAATTTGATTTATCTTTTTTCCATGCATTCGGTTTAATGGATTTAGGGATTACGATTTTAAAAATGGTTATTTTATTATATTATACAGGGTGGTAACTTCGGCAGTATATTCTGCAGATAAAAATCAGTAAAAAAGTTAGTATAATTGTATTTCTTAAAATGCTTCGTTTCTGTGATACAGAGTGTAGAAGTTTTATTTTTATTTCGGTTTTTTCCAAATAATTTCTGAGCTGACGGTGATATTTGAATGAAAATTGGTGTCTGGGTCATGTTTTTTGGCATGAGAAATTGGATTTTTACGTCTACTGAAATTATTTGGAAAAAAAACGAAATAAAAATGAAGCTTCTACACCCTGTATCTCCGCATTGAACCATTTTAGGACATAAATTTATATACAAACTTTTTTACTTATTTTTATCTGCAGAACATGCGGCAAAATAAAACACTAAATCACCACAATACACCAAAACAGAAAATTAGCAGATTATTAAAACAGTTTTAATCATCTGCGAATGACTAAAACAAGCGATGACGCTAACCATCAGCAGATGACGTCAAACATGTTAGCGTCATCAACAGATGACGCTAACGTGGTTAGCGAAACGCGCGTCCAGTGTAAAAGTAAAAGTGTGTATTGTGGTGATTTAGTGTTTTATTTTGCTGTTGTAACACCAAAGGTTCCAACCCCCAACTGTAATAAATGCAGAATATGCTGCCGAAGTTTCCCGAATACAATTCGGACCACCCTGTAGGTCATTTTTTTGTATATCATATTTTTCTAAATAATTTATATTTTTGTGTGAGCTAACAGAAGTATCTTTATTACATTTTTAATAAATTATGATTCTAATAAGTGAGGTATTACAATATTGCTTATTATATAAGTGATATAAAATTAAAAAAAAAACGCATATAACTAGGTTTATCTAAAGAGATAAATAGAAACATTCAGACAGTAAAAAGCACTCAAATTTTGATTGATTATTTATTAACAACATTGTAGCTTTAATACAATGTTGTTAATTATCGTAGGTTTAAATTATTTATGCTGCATGGTAATTTTTAAAATCTAGTAATTTTCTATTTTCTACAAAATTCTGTACGTGATAAGTAGATGTACTTACAGTTTATCATTACTACCAGCTGTAGCTGCACTTGAATTTTGAAAAATATAATGCATGAAGTTGGGTTTTTACTTAATTTGCTGCTATTATCAGATTGGGTTTACATACCTTGAATTTACTTAAGAAACCCAGCACAATTTTATTCAAACGCTTTCCAAAGGCCATTCTTGTACTGCAGAATTTTATAAAAATAAACTAAGTAATAATAAAAAATAATTTAATTTATTTTTAATACTGATGTTGATGTTAAGCACCCTTATTTTTATACAATGTTTCTTACTTATAGACAAAAGATGTAACAGTACTGGGTAAATTGAAAATATAAAAATATACAATTTATATTAGTCATATAGCTCGTGTCCTAAGATAAACAATAATCACCAGCTATATGTACACAAGAAATATACAGGGTACTCACCAAAATAAGCTCAAAATCCTAGAAACGAACCGATGTCATTTGACGCCACTGTAACGCACTCTAGCAATCTTCAGGAAAAGTTCATATCCACACATTCCAGTCTTTTTCTCAACACCCAAGCATTTCTTCCTCAAACAAACACACCACACCGGTGTCGAAGAAATTTTTGAAAAAATTCCGAACTGGAAGACTTGAGCCGTGCTTGCTGGTCAAAAGGGCAATCGCGAAAATCAGGCAGTTGTTGACAGTACCATAACCTTTGCCCCCTCTCGCATTGCAAAAGCGCAGCACCAAGAAGAGACACTGGTGTAAAGAAGGGCCATTTGCATAAATTTGGTATAGAGCATCCTCGTCCATTCCGGCAGCCAATGGCACGAGGGACGCGGGATCGCGGCCAATGGCAGCCGGCCAGAGGGACCTTGGGATTCGGGTGGGCGGAGCCTCGGGGAGGATCCCGTGGAGTCCCGGGGGATGGCAGATGTGCAGAGGCGCGCTGGCTGCCTTACTGGGGGCCATTTAGGGAGCTGGGTCACCTGCCCCGGTCGGCTTTTTGCTGCTCGAAACAGATCTGCTGCTGGCTCGAATCATCCAGGAAAAATGTCGCTGTTTCCAGAAAAAATGTGCAGATCGACGGGTCTGGGACCACCGGGAATATATGTTTTTGAATATAAAATTAACTGGGATTCGTGTACTTATATATAAACTTTGCCATGGCCGACTAGTTAACAAACAGCATCCAAATTTTGATTTGGGAAGGACAATCTGATCATTAGAGCTAAATTTAATAAACACTCATTTATTACTACTGCCATTGTTTCGAAAAAGATATACAGGGTGAGTCTTAAATAAGTCCAAATATTTTTAGGGGTAGTATATTTCGACACCAGAAACACATCTGCAAAAAAATCAAAATTTGGAATTTTTTGAAAAGAAAATTGAAAATCTTTTTAATGTTTAGTTAAAAAACATGATATGACAACATATGTAGTAGATTAAATTTACAAAAAAAAAATTCAAATAAAATATCTGGGTTATTTTGAACTTAATTGAAAAAAAGTAAAGAGAAAATATATTTCTTTTATCGAGATTTACCAGCCCTAACAATAGTTGCACTTATTTAAGATTCACCCTGACAGTAACATTAAGGACAAGGATCCAAAGTCCTTCCAAAAAAATCAGGGGTAGCTTGACATTCCTTGCTCCTCATGTGAATAGATTTACAGATTTTGGTCAAATATCAAGCGGTCTAGAAGATCTGGAAGAATTTCATCACACAAAAATGATTGCAGATTACTCAAACGTTCATGTGCTTGATCTGAGCATCATATCGATCGAATTTTCCGAAATATATGAAAATATAAATACTTTTAACAAAAAAAATATTGGTAAAATTATAACGACCTATTCTCATTTATTGTTCCTCAGCAACAAGGGTGATGAACCTTGTTACTGTTTTAACGCAGATTAATAACATCAAAATCATAATTTAATTAAAAAAGTAAAGATTTTAATCTACTTTTCTCAAAAAAAAATCTTAAAGAGCTGGTGAACTGGTATGTTAGTATATGACATAAATTAGGATTGATTGTTTTTGGTCACTTCCTGTTTCACCGGAAATGACTACAAGTTTTGATTTTTAAATGGCACTCTCGGTGTATTTCTAATTTATTCGATAGAAAATGATACTCTGAATAGAATGACATATCATTATGTCAACTTTTGACATTTTCGCGTATGGTTATTTGAAATTCTAACATGCGGTTCATAACGGTAATTTGACTCGAAATACCAAGTGTGTGGCACCAAATTATTGGTACACCCTTTATTGAGGTATTGAGGCACCCTTGTTCCATTTGAAAAAAATGAGATATGATAAAAAATACGATTTGTGCATCTTTTAACCGACACCAAAAACATTAAAGGATCAAATCTATTTTTCCAAGGCAAAATTAGAGTTTTTAACACAGCCATGGCACTCTATAGATTGAAATTTAAAATACTGTTTTTAAGCAAAAATGTCAAAAGTTGATTATATGATGTCCTTCTATTTAGAGTGTTCATTTTCTATCGAAAAAAGTAAAACCAAGGGTGCCATTTAAAAATCAAAAGTTGTAGTCATTTCCGGTGAAACAAGAAGGAACCAAAAACAACTTAATACGTCAATCAATCCTAATTTATGTCATATACTGACATACCAATTCTTGATTTTTTTATCAGAAAAAAATAAAAAAGTAATGTTGGTGAGCCACTTTTGAGACGCACCCGGTATAATTTTATCAAAAATTTCTTTATGTGTCTTCTTGACTAATGAAGGTGCAAGTAACTCCTAAGTATTTTTATTTAAAAATTTATAAAGGTTACAAATAATGATAATTGAGGATGTACTGACGTTTTAATAAATCAGTTCCCAAATATATTGCAATACACAAGTTATAAACTTAGTTAACGAGCCCGAATGAATCACCATCCCGTATATAAGTCCCCCCTCCCTATCCTCGACTCTACAAAGGTGTAAGATCGCACCTGCGAGGTCCCAGGACGTGCTTCAGGATCACAGTTTAATATCAGGATAAGGGCATTGTATTTCCAATCCAGCACCTCTCGACAATGTTTTTACAGTTCACGAACTGCGTAACAAGGATCTATGTTGCCGCCGCGCCAACATTTGCTACGTGCAGCACAAATCCCCAGTTATTTGTATTTTGCTCACAGTAATTTTAACCCTCTACACAGGGGGGACAATAAAAAAAACTTGGATCGCGTTACGTATTGTATATGGTTATAAAAAAGAAATTATTATACGAAAATACGAAATTATTTATGCTATTGTTGATGGTATTTTTAAATGGTTTGTTTTTTTAAATTTTTATAATTTTATGGCTGTGAAGTTTATGGCTTTACTGTCTTTCGAAGGCTGAATGAAAATGTGTAAAAAATAGCCAAAAATTGGTATTTTTTGGCGGTTTTTGTCCTGTCACCGATTTTATTAAAAAAGCTGTTATTTGCTAATTAAAAGGCGTAGAATAAGACAGTATAGGCAATTGTAGTCTTGCGAGAATAGTAATAGAGGTAGTACACGTTTTTTAAGCGTCATCAAAAATAGTTCAAAACAAGGGCCCAAAAAAATAATTTTCTCCCAAAACCACCATATCTAAGCCTTTGAAGGTGTATATATTCTAAACGTACTTAAAATTTCCTACAAATGCTGAAATTTTCCTACAAATGCTTGAATTTTATGGCTATGATTACTATATTCCTAAGGCCTTTGGTTTTGTGTAGTAAAAATAGCAAAAATTGGGCATTTTTCGACTTTTTCCAGTAGTCATGAATATTGGCAATTTTCGTCATGTCACCGATTTTCTTAAAACTGCTGTTATTGGCTATTTAAAAGGCGTACAATAAGAAAAGGTAGGCTATTGTAGCCTTACGAGAATAGTAAGGGATGTAGGAAACATTTTAACAATCATCAAAAATAGCTGAAAACAAGGGTCCAAAAAATTGATTTTCTCACAAAATGAAGATAACTAAGTCTTTCAAGGTGTATATATTCTAAATTTACTTAAAATTTCCTACAAATTCTAAAATTTTCATAATTTTATGGCTATGATTAATATTTTTCTAAGGCCTTTGAAAATGTGTAAAGAATACCCTAAAATTGATCAGCCGTGAAAATTGACAATTTTGGTCATGTCAACGATTTTTTTAAAACTGCTCTTATTTGCTAATTAAAAGGCGTACAATAAGAAAATATAGGCCATTGTACCCTTACGAGAACAGTAAGGGATGTAGGAAACGTTTTAACAATCATCAAAAATAGCTGAAAACAAGGGTCCAAAAAATTGATTTTCTCACAAAATGAAGATAACTAAACCTTTCAAGGTGTATGTTTTCTGAATCTACATAAAATTTCCTACAAATTCTGAAATTTTCATAATTTTATGGTTATGATTGGCATTTTTCTAAGGCCTTTGAAAATGTGTAAAAAATAGCCAAAAATTTGGGCAATTTTTTTACTTTTTTCATACTGCACTATATAATCGTGAAAATTCCACTACCATGTCACCGATTTTGTTAAAACTGCTGTTATTTACTAACTAAAAGGGGTAGAATAGCAAAATATAGGCCATTGTAGTCCTACGAGAACAGTAATGGATGTAATGGACGTTATAACCATGATCAAGAATATCCGAAAACAAGGGTTCAAGAAATTAATTTTCCTACAAAACCAAAAATCTAAACCTTTAAAGGTGGACATATTCTGAATCTACATAAAATTTCCTACAAACGCTGAAATTTTCACAAACATTTAAACACAAGTTTACTATTTTTCTAAGAACTTTGAAAAGTATCAAAAAAATTATAATTTAAAAATTATTAATTATAATTTTTCACATTTTAGTATTCGTATAGTCAGCGATTTTGATAAAACTAATGTAGGGTAACTCATTATAGGGTAGTCTTACTACTGTGGTAGGTACTAGATGTAACTAATCATTTACTATTTTTCGAAAACAGGAACTTTAAATGTCGGTCAATTTGACAAGTATTCACATTAACAAGATTTCTCATGGTATATCTTAGTAGGTATCGTAAAAATTAAATAAAAATAAAGGAAGATTATAGAATTGTTTTTAATTGATTTTGATATATTAAATAAACTCACTTCATTCCTGGGCGCGACAGGAAATAATAAATTAGGACCCTCTAATCGATTAAATGCTTATAAGGACGATCAACAGAACAGGACCGGAAAGGGTGAAGGAAGTTCATTAATTGCTCATCTCCCCCTTGATATTCGCATCGACACCTTTGCCATTCATAAGCCGCCTGCACACGACACGATTGTCACTCCATTCTAGGATTATCTCTGCGATTCAAACCATTTTCTCATCAACACTTAAATAGCCTTTTAATAAGCTTTGATTTTGGCAGCTCGGCCGTACGAAGAAATCAATATTCCCTCCCTTGTCAACTACAGACACTTTATTTCGAACCGATTTTTTTATTCGAGAACCTCATTATAAATTGATAAGATGAGACTGAGACTGAAACTATCGAAATATATTTATTCATATCTTAGGATTATGTAAAGATATCTAAAAAGAAGCCAAAATTGCAATAATATACAGGGTGTTCCATTTAAAAAAAATCATCCCGATCCACTCACACTTTTTTGAGCCACCCTATAGAAGTTAAAATATTTTCCTGAAATACATCCTTGTACATACTTTAGGTTTACACTGAAACAAACTTCCCAAGTTTTTTAATAGACCCGTTATTCTAGAGGCTACAGATGCCCGACGCACTATTGCCGGACCCTGTAGAGAGTATCTAAAAATTTATTTTAAATAGTTATTACCTTTAAACGGCAATAACGGCTTTAATTTAAATATACCCTGTATATGTATATACGTGAATCAGGTGCACAATTTAATTGTCTATCAAATTGTATTATTCCATTTTTTACCTATATCTTCAGGTTTTCGGAGAAAATGCATTTTCTTATAATTTTGACCTCATTTATCAATATACCCATGGAATATTGACATTTTATATACTTTTTAAAGATGTAACAAATTTTCAAAGAATACACATACTAATATTGTCGATATAGTTCCCTTATCTCTTTAAAAAATAAAAACTATTTAAATATTTGTAAGAGGACCAATTAATATGATCTCAGTATTCGAACTACATTAATTGACTATCTGTGTTTATTAATAATTGTTTTTAAATTCGTTTTTCATGTTTAGTCCATAGGAGAAGATACTACGACTGATGCAGCTCTGGAACGAAGATCTTGGGAACACTAGCCTTCAGGATTGAGTCCCAGAACGAGATTTAACCAGGTATGTTATTATACGATTATCCCATTTTACATTAGATGACAAATTATTCCTAAATTCCTTCTTGTGTTGTTTACATATGGGTGTTTCAAACTTTTACCACAATTTGTTTTTCACAATTTGTTATAATTGACAGATGGAAAGTTTCAATTTTGATTTAGAAACACTGAAAAAAAGGATCTCTCAGTCGAAATGAATATGACTTTGACCCAAAAGATTGGCGCTTTTCAATAGGGCCAAGAACGACGTTTCTTTGCCCAAAGCATTAACTATCTTTTCATAAGCTTTAAAAAATTGCTTTAGAGAATAGAAGAATCTATCTGTCCAAAGTATTTCACTCTTGACCCAAAATTAATATGCAGAGTTCTTGCTACAAGAACAATAGTCTCTTTGATTCATGCAAAAATTCTTGATTGAAAAGGGACATTTCTTGATTAAAGAGGCACTTTTCTTAAACCAGTAGCGAATACTATTGACCCAACTAAAATTTATTTTGATCTAAGAGAAGTCTATACATCATATACAGGCATATTACGAGGTATATTATTTTCTGATAAATTTAGGTTTTCCTGGTCTGTAGTAAGTAATGGTGATATTATTTTCCTCGATAGTAGTTATTTCTGCATCTTCACTTCTTGGTATTTTTTGGGGTGGTTCATCACTCTACAAATTACAAAAAAATGTTACATCACGATTAATCAAAGTAAAGCAAATAAATTATTAAAATTATAAACTTTGGTCACATTTTGATTTTTTTAATACGACGACTTGAAATTCTAAAATTTTTGTAAGTATTTGCATAAAAAAATCGATACCTATATTCTTATTCTATCTATATACATGCATTATCTAAACAGGTGCATTAGGTAAATGTCTCTTACCTTCAAATATAGCAAATAAATGCTCTAATTTCCATTTTTTCAGAAACTCCTTTAAACAATCCATATATCCTAAAATTTGTCCATAAAAAATGACAAATGCATGTTAATAACGATCATTAATTTGTTATACGATTTGCGTTTAAAAAGCAATTTATGCAAAATACCAAGCAACAAAACCCGTGCGTACTATGATGTGCGACCTATGAAATGCGACGTACGAACTGCCATGCCATGCCGACTGATTGTATATGTATACCGTCCTTCGTCATCGTCGTTGCATGTCGTTATTATTTTTCATCAAAAGAGTATTTAGCTATTGGAAAAATGGCCATGTTTCGTGAATGAAGTACTTCCTAGCGTATTTTTCTTATCTTAAAACCAAGTACAACTTAACAAGTATAGCGTAGAGTAACAAGTAACAAGTAAGTAGAGACGTGAGAAATATAAAATAACACGCGACCGGTGCTATCCCCAAGTCTCTTCCTATATTTGTTCATCTGTAACTTGCACTTGGTTGAATGAAAATAGATTCAAGAGAAATTTTCGATTTTTTCAAGATATGAAAATCATGAAAATCGGCCCACTAGAACAAAATATATTAAACATTTTAAGGTGCCCTTTTTTCGTGCCGGTGAATGTATATTTTTTTTTTCGTTGTTATACGTGGTTTTCACAATTTATTCGTATTCTTTTTGGTATTGCCGATCTTCTATTGGAAATTACCGATTGTTTGCACTTTTCATTCTTGCGAATGTTGAGGATACTCGAAGATGAATGGGTGCCGAAAACTGCGATGAATAGTACCGCTGGTTGTAAAACGGATGTCTGCCCAATAGGCCATGCACATCTTCGGTCTGTTCCATTGAAATCGTTTCACCTCTGGGTTAGATCATAAACGGGCTAAGTAACCTAACAACCCGACTGTTTGCTTTTGCCCATTGTTACGTCTTTTGCCGTTTGTGAAATGAACCAAAAAATGATATCAAACATTTGCCGGGGCATCCTTAAATATTTACACTTTTTTAAAGGGGCTCGTATGTATAGGAAAAAGAATATTTCGAGAATAAACAGATCATTTATAGACCTTAATTGAACAAGATTTTTCAGCAGGACAGTGGCAGCTCATAATAGTTATTTCTTGCTAGATACATACTTATTTTCACAAAAAAAATATTTGTTGTGAAAATTGGCGATTTTTGTCATGTCGCCGATTTTGTAAAAACTGCTGTTATTTAACTAAAGGCGTAGAATAAGAAAATCTAGGCCGTTATAGTCTTACGAGAACAGTAATGGATATAAGAGACGTTTTAACCACCACTAAAAATAGCGGAAAACAAGGGTCTATAAATAATTAATTTCCTCACAAAACCAAGATATCTGATCCTTTAATGATGAATATACCATGAATCTACATAAAATTTCCTACAAATGCTGCAATTTTTATAATTTTATGACTATTATTACTATTTTTCTAAGGCCTTTGATGTTGTCTAAAAGATACCCAAAAATGGACATTTTTTCGACTTTTTTCACAGTTTATATGGGTCATCGATTTTGTTAAAACTGCTGTTGTTTATTAATTAAAAGTTGTAAAATAAGAAAATACAGGCCATTATAGTCTTAGGAGAACAGTAATAGATATAGAGGACGTTTTAACCTTCATTAAAAATATCTGAAAAGCAAGGGTCCAAAAAATGTTTTTCTCATCAAAAGTTTCTCATAAAGCTAAGGTACCTAAGTCTTCAAAGGTGTACCCAAAAAATGAATTTTCACACAATACCAAGATATATAAGCCTTTAAAGGTGTATATATTCTAAATCTACGTAAATTTTCCTACAAATGCTGAAACTTTTATAATTTTATGGCTATGATTACTCCTTGTAACACTTTTGAAAATGTGTAAAAAAACTTGAAAATAAATCAAAAATTTTCATAATTTTATGACTATGATTACTGTCTTTAGAAGGCATTCGAAAATGTGTAAAGAATAGCTGAATCTACCCAAAATAAAGAAGATACTGAACTTTACTCTATCGTCGATTCATCCTGTACATTAATTTACCGAATGCCTATAGGGAAATTTGTAAAGCTGACAATCAGATCTGTCTGTTGGCAAAGGCGTCATACTCTTGAGATCTCCAAATCCGATAGGCCCGGACGTGCCAAATAATTAAGTTAATGTAAGGGGTTATTTCTCCATACGATAAGGATGTTTTTTTTTAATTTGCTAAGTTCAAAAAAAGTTAAAAGAGATTGGGCCTCATACGAATTCCAGATAAACAATTTTAAAAGAATTTTTTGTTAATGTTTTTTCCTAGAAAATTTTTATTATAAATAAAAGTGTCTCAATTATTGAGCATTACTAAGATTTGTACTTCACACGATACAAATAACGTTAGAATTGGATTATCCTTGTTTAATAGATAAGTGCACCGAGAGAGAATACGAAAAAATTGAGCCTTGGGTAATTTCGAAAAACGTAATATTTTAATTTTTTACGTAAGATGTGCAAGATAATGGAAAAGTATGGTCGAAAATCGGAGATAAACTGCAGGAAGCCTGCCCTATCTCGGTCACGACGGAACGCCTCTTATCAGACTGAACTTCGAGGAGCTGAATTATGAATATCCGCGTACGTGTGAACGATATGATAGGATGTAATCGCTTTGCAATCGATCTCCTATGCTAATAATGGGCCAATTACTTCACTGAATTGAACTCTTCAACCTTTGCAGCTTAAAGAGGGTGGAGAAAAAGCTTACAGCTCGCGGAAAATTAAATTTCATATCGCGCACAGGGAGAATATTAACGTGTAACCAAACACAGTATTTAAAGTTTTATATAAATCTTAAAATTTTTACTTAATTTTATCACTATGTTTATTACCTTCCTGAGCATTTTGAAAACCTACAAAAATTCGCTAAATATGGGCAATTTTTCTGCATTTTTTCATACATACAGTTGTGAGAATTGGCGATTATTGTTATTATTGTCACCGATTTTGTTAAAACTGTATATATTCTGAATCATAAAATTTTCCACAATTTCTTAAATTTTTATAATTTTATGGCTATAATATAATTACTATTCTTCTAAGGCCTTTGAAAATGTGTAAAAAATAGCCAAAAATTGGTCAGTCGTGCAGATTGACGATTTCTGGCATGTCGCCGATTTTGTTAAAACTGTTGTTATTTACTAATTAAATGGGGTAGAATAAGAAAATATAGGCCATTGTAGTCTTACGAAAACACTAATGGATGTAGTAGACGTTTTAATAATCATCAAAAATAGCTCAAAACCAGGGCCCAAAAAATTAATTTTCACACAAGATGTCTAAGCCTTTAAAGGTGTATATATTCTGAATCTACATAAAATTTCCTACAAATTCCGAAATTTTCATAATTCTACGGCTATGATTACTATTTTTCTAAGGCCTTTCAAAATGTGTAAAAAATACCCTAAAATTGGTCAGCCGTGATGTCACCCATTTTGTTACAACTGCAGTTATTTACTAATTAAAAAGCGTAGAATAAGAAAATATAGGCCATTGTAGTCTTACGAGTCTACGTAGTCTTAACAGTCATCAAATATAGTTCAAAAACATTTTCTACAAATGCTGAATTAATTTTTATAATTTTATATCTTATCTATCTTTCTGAGCATTTTGGAAATCTATAAAAAATCGCTAAAATGGCCAATTTTTCGTCTTTTCATTTTTATTTTTTTCATCTACCGGCTACAATTTTTAGTTCATAAAAAGAATATTTTCCTGAAAGTTTGTAACCATTTTTTAATGAGCACGTAAGGCTTGTCCGTGTCGGCACATATCAAAGGGCAGGTCTGGCTACCGCACAGAGACGAATATGAATGAATCTGACCGAAAAATTTTGATGCAACTGGACACAACAAAACCGCAACATGCGGTCCGCAAATATTACGAACGTAGTGATGTGCCCCTCGCACACAATGCGACCGTTCGTTTTGCAACAGCCAGATTAAGCAGTTCCTTTCCCTTCCCCTCGAATAGACACACACAACAACTACTTTGCTAATATCCTTAAGCAGATTACATCGTAGTTACGATAGATCTTCTGTAGTAGCATCACACATGGGCGTGCCAGA